TTTACTTTCATCCATAAATACTGTTTAATGCTCTCAGCTGTTATTCAGTAACTTAGTTTTGGTTAGGAACATATTTTCAATTCAGTTTTGCCACTAAATCCATAACTTCAGTTAAAAGTAGTATTGAATTGGCTGTGGCATGTGATAATGAAGAAATACTTAAAGATAGCTTATTTCATTGTTCTTTCCCAAGACCTCTTTACATGATATGCTTTAAATTTTTATATCAGGTGAGGCACTAAGTGCTAAATATATTTCTGTGTACCTTTGCTCTCAGGTAGTTTTCCTGTCCTTAAATTTTCAACCATTGATCTTGAGGAAACACTAGCTGAACTAAGCATGGAGCTTCAGAGGCTCAGAATGGAAGGTGAATATAAAATGTTTATTGATTCATTATCAGAGAGAAATAAATCCAAGAATGCTATTAAAGGCTTTCACCCCTGTATCGAAATATCACTTTTCAAGGGAAATTATTCCTTATTTAAAAGAACCTCTTGTCTGATTTTATTACTATTGATGAATGCTTCCACTCCTTATTCAAATTATACATTTTCAAGGGAAACTATTCCTAAGATAACCCCTCTTCCTTTATAGTTATTAAGTGAGATTGCTGTCTTATACTTTTGGCTATTATGTAAAGTGTTAGCTTTTATATGAAATTTTTCTTAATTTAGTCTTTGCTAATTCTGTGCTGTGGTGAAAGAGAGTATTAAGTTGGCTGTGGCTTATTATGATGAGACAATTTTTCTAAATGGTTGATTTCAACAATGACCATAGGAGATTAATCAGAAAACTGACACTATAACTGTGCTATCACATGACCCCAACACAATGTACAGTGCTAGTTAAATGCCTGTTTTTAATCATTTATGTGAAATAAGGCACTGAATGCTAAATACAGTGTATCCTTCTGTTTACCTTTCCTTTCAGGTACTTTGCTCTCCCCTGCACTCTTAACTGCTGATCTTGAAGAAAAACTAAAAGAACTACTCACAGAACTTGAGAGACAAAGAGATAAAGGTGAGTGAAACATGTGTATTGGCTCCATCGAACAGGGCAAAAGAAATATGGAAAGTGATGCAAGGAAATGGTTGCACTAGTATTTTAGGCTTGTTTTTCTAAGTAACAAGCTGAAAGGTTTTAGTTTGCCATAAAGGACTCCTAATTATATTATCTTCCCTCAAATATCTAAGTTCTGCATGCAACTTGCAAAACATCTCCACCACTCATTACATGTTAAAACATGGAATGATCTAACCCCTCCTCTTATATAATGCTATCAACCAAGAATGCTGTTAAATGCTTTATACCATTTTGCTACCTTCTCTCAGGTAGTTTACCTCCCACTTTTTCCACCATTGAAGTAGAAGTAGACGAACTACTCAAGAAATTTCAGAAAAGGAGGATGGAAGGTGAATAAATAATGCACATTTAGAGAGAAAATAATTGTAGTAGAATGCTATTAAAATATTTCCAGTTCCTTGTAGAATTACATTACCGCTCGTGTATACATTAACCAAAAAACGCGAATAAAACGCGCCAAAAATCGCATGCAAATGCGAATTTAAAAAAATGTGCGCGTCAAAAAATTGCACATGCGCGCATAAGCTTGATACGTCTGCCTCGTTAGTATATATGAGGTAATCCTTTTGTTTTTCTATTGTTGGCGGTTTACCGTTTTAAAGAATAGGCTAAATAGAAAAACGAATAGAAAAAAATAGAAAATAGAAATAATAGAATAGAAAAACAAAATGATTACCTCATATATTCTAAAGAGGCAGACGTATCAAGCTTATGCGCGCACGTGCGATTTTTTGACGTGCACATTTTTTTAAATTCGCAATTGCATGCTTTTTTTGGCTACAATGTAACAGGACTAAAATACTACACTGCTACCAACGACAAGAAAACTTGTTCGTTTCAATCACCGTTCTAACCGACCTTCCCGATATGCTGTTACAAACTACTGCGACTTCGTAATAGGAATATACGAATGATTTATCATTTTCCAACGGAATTCTTTAATCAAAATTTGTCACTTCGTATAAAAAAAACATCCGTCACAACGGCCTTTAGAATTCGTTCTCGGTGTATTGTAATTCGGTAGAATCAGCTAAAGCGTCCGTTTGTAACCAGTTGTCGCATTCTTAATGCAAACCCACGCATTTCATAGCTTTATCATCGGTGAACATGCTATTCTCGAAAACTGGTTTATTCATCGCGCCATTTATACAAAAACTTATAAGTTCTACCAGCTTATTTTAATGGTGTTGTGTTACAGTATGGTTACCTGTCACGACTACGCCTTGTTCTTACCATATGCATATTTTTATTGGAAACCGGATTTACTTCTTGTTTTAAAATTTGTAAAATCATCGAGCGATGTTCACCAAATTGCTCATAAAAGGGAAGGGAAAAATTAAATGCAGGATACATTTAGTTCAAGTTTGTATAAGACTCGCAGACGCGTGCAATTGGACAAAACATCAATACGGCGATACTTATGTCCGTCAACACGGTAATCCAGGACTTTTGGAAAATTGGTGGCTCCTAAAGGAGCCGTTTTTTCATTAAAGGAAGCTGTTACTAGGCTCTTCCTTCGCGTTGGACTGCAGTAGAAGTAACTTTTCGGAGGTGGCTAATGTATTTACAGCACTCAGCAGCAGTCCCAGAGTCCCTGAACCGATGGATGCCCGCGACAAGTTCGTCCTTGTTAGTTGGCTTGACAACGCGACGCAAGCGAATGTTTTCAGTTCGTGTCAGGGGAGCTTTAAAGGATTCATGTCCGGGCTTTCAGTAGGAGTAGGCCAGTATTTTATGTTATTATCTTCGAATCTTCGTCTTTGACATTGCGATTTACTATAACTTGACCTTTCATTGTAGTAATATATTGCGCTCCGCAACCAAACAAATCATCACGTGCGATGCGAAATGAAACTGTTTACATTTCTGTGCGTAAACGCTCAAGCGAGCGCCGATTGCAATGAATAAAATGACGTGAGTTTTCCGTTGTCGACTCGTCGCATTTTCAAACTTAAAAGTTCTTTGTTTTACACAACGATGAAATACAAAGGAAATCTATAGCACTGAATAACAAAGGCACATGAGTCGCGCATTTTTTCGACCGTGCGCGCAATACAATCGTATATGCGCGTCTGACTACCCTGAGTCTGAGCGTACGTAATTCGTCTGCGCAGTTAACATATACGCAAGCAGTACTGTAAAATTTTTTCCAGGGAACTCCTGCATATGCAGCCTTCTACTGCAGTAATTATTGACCATTGCTATGCTCATTGGAGGCCTTATACATCAGTTATGTTCCTCCATTGGCACCCAGCACTTAGGTGGAGACTGTTTTCACGAATGGTAAATCCTGGCAACCCAGGCATCAGCCGTCATGTAGTAAGAAGAAAACCTCCCATTGCACTGGAAAATAAAAATTGTAGAAGAAAAGGAACAAAATACCAGGGAAAAGTGAATTTCGTCGTAGTGCATGTTAAAAGAATATCTGACTTCTTAGGATAAGCTCATTCTGGTCCTGGAAACTTTCAAATTTTGCTACATATGCAAAATTACAGGTACTGTTTCATGTTATGCACAGTTGGCGTGGTGCGCGCGTGCAGTGGTTTAGATCTGCATAAGTGTCAAGTGCGCGGTATTGTAGTGGATACTACTAGGGCTTTTTATGAGATTGCCAAGGCGTTTTTAATTGTATCCATTTACACCCTTCAGTTTGTTAAGGCACTGCAAACTTTATTGTCCGGGTCAAAGCTGTAACACAGTGTACACATGCAGTTTGTAACTTGGATTTTGTTACTTGAACGTTGAAGAGCCTTTGTGGAAGCTACCTTAGAGTTACAATAATCACATGAGCTACCTGACGTTATTAACTTTACCATATACTATCGCTGGCCATACCTGTGGGTAATATGAAGAGAATCCTGTGTTGGGATTGACTATCTAAGCTGCCCCCTTGGGATTGCCCGCTTAGATTCCACACAAGAAAAACACTGCGCCAAGGTGACTTACAAATCTCGGTGATGGAGGTGGAAGAAAAGGGACAGAAGACTGTCAAAACAAAGACATCATGAATGACTCGCGTGGGTTTATTGTGCTACAAACACAGTTGGCTTTCTTTCCGTGCTCCTGAAATAAACAAGTCATTCTTGATTCTTAATAAAGCGAAATCTTTTTGTGTTTTTATGGACCTCGAGTTCGTCTTGGTCCATAAAAATACAAGAAAAAAAACACGGCCAATATTCAGCCATCTTGACCTCGTGATTGGTTAACAAAACACACACACACACACACACACACACACACACACACACACACACACACACGCACACACACACACACACATATATATATGTATATAATTGCTTAGTCAGTAAACCTTAGTACATGTAGGAGGGTCTCAATGTAGTTAACCGTAAAATGGCAAAAAAAATAGCCGTTAGGCATAAAAATTGACAAATTTCAACTGTCAGTCGTCAAAATGGTCAACTGAAAAAATTTTTCTTTAATCTTCTGAACAGATTTTCGCAAGATTTTCATTGGAGGGGCTATGAAAGAAAAAATTTCTAGTTTTTACATGTTGGGTGTTTTTAAAAATAGTTTGAGGTATGTTTATGGTTCAAAATGTTTGTCATCTTGTAAATCTGATTTTAGGTGCTTTGTCCTCTGAATTCCACTCCACAAGTTCAACCAGTGAAAGTCCACAAAAAAAAGAACAATGGGAAAAAAGTGAACAGCAAACAAAGATTATGGAGACAGCGAAATTGGAAGGTGAAAAGGAAATTAAAAAAACTTGTATTAAGTTATATGGAAAGCTGTTGTGAACAATAATAACGGTTATGTTATAAGTACTTGAAGAATTATCTCAGTGCAATGATGTGGCATCAATTAATTAATATAATTGTACACAGTTCCAATTATGAGAACAAAACATCTGAAGAGAAGCTGTGAATGCTAATCTCTCTCTGCATTTTTACCCTTAGGTACTTCACCCCTCATTGTGATACCGACCACTGGTCATGGAAAAGAACTAGAAGAACCTTGGGGAAGGAAAGGTGAACAGGATGCTCAGTTTGAATTATTTTTGAAGTTAATGTAATTGAAACATGTTGCTCATTATGTTCAGCTACTACCAGTAAGCCAAGTAAAAAGTTGTATTGTATTGTAAGTTATCAACTATTTAATGTTCTTCATGTTTGTTGAGTTTTTCCCTTTGTTATTGGGAAAAGTACCCGCTTTTAAGTGGATTTAGTTGATCTACCCTTAAAACTGATATCAAACCACCTTGAAATGAATAAAAAGATGTGGGGCTTACTGCTTTCAGTTGTTTTCGCTGACGTGTTGAAGTCTAGCATGGGTTCCAGTTTGGGTTCAGTTCCCCCTGACATGCTCCAAGAAAAAAAAGAAAACAACATAACAAATCACTGACTTGTTGTTTTGATGCATTGACATTGAAGAAGTGGAAGAATTCATCCGTGCGTAAATTGGCCTAAAAAGCTTTAGGAGTGAAGCTATGAAACTTCAGGGAAAAAAAAATGAGAAATGAAAAAAGAACGTGAATGTAGTTTTAGTCATCTTTTACAATAGAAATTAATGTTATAGGCAAGAATGCTTCTGTCAGCAATTATGATAAATGATACTTGTCAATGCAAATTATTTGAAATGTGTTTCTGCCTCATTCTCTTCTCTAGTTAAAGGTAGTGCTGAGTTTCCTTGCAATAAATTAAGGAAATGTTACATACATGTAGAGTGATTACTTTTTCAGTTGCTCTCAATAGTTTTTTTTTTTCGGTTTTAAAGCTTCTGTTCTTAAATGTAGATAATCTACAGTGTACATGTACCTACTAGTATCTTTAAATGCAAGTTGGTATGCCTTTTCCCAACTATTAATTAGTAGAAATGGTAATATCTCTCTACATACCTTTGTTTTTAGGCATGTTGCCTCTTCCTGGATCTTTCACCTTTGATCTTGAAGAAAAACTAGAAAAGCTTTATATGAAACTTCTAACGATAAAAGGTGAAGTAAAATATGCTGTTAAATTAAATTTCATGGCAAATCTAAACCAAGAATGCTTTTAAATACATTTAGTTCTCATTCAAAATATTTTTTTGAAAGGAAATTTCACCCGATTTAGTTTTCCCTCACTCTGTGTTTTGCTAGAAGGGAATATTGAGATGGTAGAGGCTGAGGATGGTGAAACAGTATATAATGATAAACTAAGTTTTTTCGGTGTTGATCCTAAATTACGCCTTAAAAAACCGACAATGAGGTAATTTAGATAGATTTTGTACATCGTATACAATCAGTTAATCGCATGTTGGTTTGACCCGTTATCGTGTCGCTATTAAAAGTAACACCATGAGTTGCACTTTGTACCTTACCCCTCAGGGTTGCCTCCATTACTACGGACACCCTAGCGGGGAGATTTAGTTTCTGTAATAGCGAAGAGTCTGTAATAACGGGGTATGAGAGATAAAATAAAGTTTCCAACGTGGCCTCACAAACGGGAAAAAGATCAGGCCGCAAGCAGGAAATTCTCATGTTCACACCCAATTGAAGAATGGTTTCTTTATTTTCTTTTTTCATAATGTCGCTTTATAGTATGTTTGTCAGGATTTTGGATGAAGTATTAAGTGTCTGTTATAGCGAGAGAAAGAACAAGAGAAATGTCGTGCTGTGGGGCTTGAAAGTGTCTACATTTCGATAAAAGGAAGAGTCCGTTTTAAAGGGAATTTATTTCGTTTCTTCATGCTTTTCCCTAGGGGCTGGCTCTTGTTTGCGGTGGCGAGGTGTCTGTAATAGTGAGGGGTACGCAGGGCGAGAGTCAACTGTAGATTAATCCAAATTTGGCATTGTTTCATTCTCTACTTTAGCTAAAGATGGTACTGAGTCGGCATGTGGTAAAAATACATAATGGTTGTTTTCAACGATGATCATGGAGTTACAATGAAGATCTAACACTGTTTTACTTCAACATGACTATAATTTGCTGTTTGCACAAGTATATCTGTTGTTATCTTTTCTGTGTAAAGTCAGACACTGAATTTTGAAAAGCTTTGTATACCTTTGCTCTCAGGTTCTTCATCTCTCCCCGTCGCTGATCTTGAGGAAAAGCTAGATCAAGTATTTGAGGAAATTCGGATGCTGAGAATGGAAGGTGAATAGAAAAATTCATATCTTGTCATTTTTAGGGAGAAACTGATACAAGAATGCTAATAACTGTCCATAAAGTTTGCTTAGGTTTAAAAAATAAGCTAAAATATTGAATAGGTAAAAACCAAACATTTTCAAAACCAGGTCATCATCAGGGTGATGATGACCTAGTGTTGAAAATGTTTGCTTTTTATATATTTTTTAATATTTTAGCCATGTAAATAGCTCAATGCTATGAAATGAATTCATATTTTTCCAGTAAACTCTTTAAGAGAAATTATTCCCTATCTGAGATATTAACGTTTTTCTGTCTTTACTTTCATCCAAGAATACTGCGAAATGCTTTCAGCTGTTATTCAGTAACTTAGTTTTGTTAAAGAAAATATTTTCAATTCAGTTTTGTCTCTTAATCCTCAACCTCAGTTAAAGGAAGTATCAAATTGGCTGTTGCATGTGATAATGAAATATTACTTATAGATAGGTTATTTCACAATGATATAATGGAAAACTTGCATTATTGTTCTTTCACTTGACCTCGATACATGTTATCATGCTTTAACTTTTTTATCAGGTGAGGTACTTAGTGCTAAATATATTTCTGTGTACCTTTGCTCTCAGGTAATTTTTCTGTCCTTAAACTTTCAACCATTGATCTTGAGAAAAAACTAGCTGAACTAGGCATGGAGCTTCACAGGCTCAGAATGGAAGGTGAATATAAAATGTTTATTTATTCATTATCCGAGAGAAATAAATCCAAGAATGCCGTTAAAGGCTTCCACCTTCGTATCCAATTATCACTTTTGAAGGAAAATTATTCCTTATTTAAAATAATCTGTTATCTGATTTTATTACTATTGATGAATGCTTCCACTCCTTATTCAAATTATACATTTCAAGGGAAACTATTCCTTAGTAAAGATGATCCCTCTTCCTTTATAATTATTAAGTGAGATAGTTATCTAATACTTTCAGTTCTTCACATGAGCCTAGTACAATGTGAAGTGTTTGTTAAATGCCTGTTTTTAACCATTTATGCGAGGTAAGGCACTGAATGCTAAATACAGTGTATCTCTCTGTTTACCTTTCCTTTCAGGTACTTTGCCTCCCCCTGAACTCTTTACTGCTGATCTTGAAGATGAACTAAAACAACTTCGACGACTTATTTGTATACTTCAAGATAGAAAAAGAGAGAAAGGTGAGTGAAACATGTGTATTAACTCTGTTGAGCAGGGCAAAAGAAATATGGAAAGTGATGTAAGGAAATAGTTCCACTAGTATTTCAGGCTTGATTTTTTAAGTAACAAGCTGAAAGGTGACACGATTCCTTTTAGTTTGTTATAAAGGACTCCTATTATTTTCTCTCCAATACCTAAGCCCTGCATGCAACTTGCAAAACATCTGCGCTGCTCATTACGTGTTGAAGCATTGAATAATGTGTATTTACTCCATATTTAAGATAACCCCTCTTCTTATATAATGTTATCAATCAAGAATGGTGTTTAAAAATTCCTTAAACCATTTTGCTGTTTACTTCTTCTCTCAGGTAGTTCACATTCCCTTTTTCCCATCATTGATACAGTATTTAGACTACGCCGGGAACTTGAGAAAGTCAAGGTGGAAGGTGAATAAATAATGCACATTTAGAGAAAAAACAATTTTAGTAGAATGCTATTAAACACTTCCACTTCTTTATCGAAGTATCTTTTTCCACGGAACTCCTGCACGTGCAGTCTTTTTCTGCATTAATTATTAACAATTGCAATGCTCATTAGAGGCCTAAGATATAAATTACATAACTACATTGGCACCCAGCACTTAGATGGAGACTGTTTTCACGAGTGGTAAATCCTAGCAATCCAGCAATCAGCCGTTATGTAGAAAGGCGACAACCTCACATTGCACTAGAAAAAAATATTGTAGAAGAAAAGAAACAAAATACCAGGCAAAAGTGAACTTCTTTTTAGCACGTGTTAAAAAATAACTAGCTTCTTAGGATAGGCTCATCCTGGTCTTAGAAACTTTCAAATTTTGGTACATATGCAAAATTACAGGTACTGTTTCATGTTATGTGTAGTTTCGTGGTGCGCGCTTGCAGTCCTCGGGATTTGCACGTGCATCAAGTGCGCGGTACTGTCGTGAATCTTGGATACAACTCTAGCATTTTATCAGAGTGCTTAGCCATTTTTAATCGTATCCATTTACAACCTTGATGTGTTAAGGCCCCGCAAGCGTCAAATTGTGCTCTAATTCAGAACAAGGTGTACACATGAAGTTTGTAAATTGAGTTTGTGTGTCGAACGTTGAGGAGCCTTTGTGTAAGCCATCTCAGAGTTACGATGACCACATCGCGCTACCAGAGGTTATTAGCTTTACCATATTGCTGCTTCAATAGTGCATGTAGTACTAATGCATGTCAGTGAACTGTAATACATGTAGGAGGGTCTCAATGGGGCTAACTGTTAACCACCGTAATATAGTAAAAACATTTTGCTGTTAGTCGTAAAAATTGACGAATTTCAACCGTTAGTCTTAACATAACATAACTGTTTATTCACAATTCAAATTTTAATGAAAGGTAAAAAGGAAACAAAAGAGGTTACCCGTTTCAAGTTTGTCTCCTAAAATAATTAAAAATCACAGTAAAATAGTTCAAAATTTCCTAAAACATTAGTAAAATGGCATCTGAGTCTGTTCTTGAAAATGTTCAGAGTTTTTGCCTTTGCAACTTTTTTAGGTAAATTATTCCATTCATTGACTATATTTGCACAGAAAGAATACTTAAAACTGTTTAGCTTTGCGGGCAATGGTTTAAGTTTATGGCGATGGTTGGTTCTTAATGGTCGAAAATCATATGCAAATGTAAAATACTCAAATAGGTGTAGCTCGTTAAGACTGTTAGCCGTCTTATAGCACTCAGTAAGCGCAGAAAATAATCTTCTCTGATGTAGAGTTAGCCATTTAAGGACCTTTAAGCGCTCTTCATATGACATATCTCGGGCAGTGTTTCTGATTGCATATCTAGGTGTTCTGCGTCGTACTTTCTCTAAAATAGCC